ACCAGGACAGTCTCCGCTGTGGCCTTCTCCCCTGATGGCACCCGCATTGTCTCTGGGTCCTGGGACAAAACTGTGTGTGTGTGGGACACTGAGACTCAGACACAGATTGGAGCACCACTTGAGGGCCACACCAGTGCAGTCCACTCTGTGGCCTTCTCCCCTGATGGCACCCGCATTGCCTCTGGGTCCGGGGACAAAACTGTGCGTGTGTGGGACACTGAGACTCAGACACAGATTGGAGCACCACTTGAGGGCCACACTGACATAGTCTACTCTGTGGCCTTCTCCCCTGATGGCACTCACATTGTCTCTGGGTCCGAGGACAACACTGTGCGTGTGTGGGACACTGAGACTCAGACACAGATTGGAGCACCACTTGAGGGCCACACCGGCGAAGTCAACTCTGTGGCCTTCTCTTCTGATGGCACCCGCATTGTCTCTGGGTCCTATGACAACACTGTGCGTGTGTGGGACACTGAGACTCAGACACAGATTGGAGCACCACTTGAGGGCCACACCAGGACAGCCTACTCTGTGGCCTTCTCACCTGATAGCACCCGCATTGTCTCTGGGTCCGGGGACCACACTGTGCGTGTGTGGGACACTGAGACTCAGACACAGATTGGAGCACCACTTGAGGGCCACACCAGTGGAGTCCACTCTGTGGCCTTCTCCCCTGATGGCACACACATTGTCTCTGGGTCCCATGACCACACTGTGCGTGTGTGGGACACTGAGACTCAGACACAGATTGGAGCACCACTTGAGGGCTACACCAGCGAAGTCACCTCTGTGGCCTTCTCCCCTGATGGCACTCACATTGTCTCTGGGTCCTGGGACAACACTATACGTGTGTGGGACACTGAGACTCAAACACAGATTGGAGCACCGTTTGAGGGCCAAACCAGTGGAGTCCATTCCAGTCCAGGTATGTATCATCAACAGCTTCTCATACACTTCTTCACATGTCCCTGGACAGGTTCACACCCCTCTGCAGATTTCATTGATATTTTTCATGCTGAGACCGGTGCATTCTTATCCACACTTTGTTTTCAACCGGATGGCTGGATTGTCGGACCTCGTGGACAACTAATTCTCTGGGTTCCTCACCACCTCATTAAATTCCTGCCTCGACCTCACCTTCTTGCAATTCTTGGGAGCCACCCCATGATTAAATTTCACACCTCCACATTCTACCACGGGGATCAATGGACCCGGTGTTATGCTGGTTGAACCAGAGTCTGTACAGGAATTTACATAACACATAGCTGTCTACAAAATCATTAACCTTCCATTCTGGAAATCCACAGCTCTTAAGAATACAATTTAATGTGGTAACTCTTTGAGTCTGGACTGTAAAGTCGGCTTGCAGCACTGACATTCAGAATGAATCTGCAGCTGATTTACAACAGGAATATCACAGGTGGTAAAGTTCAATCAATCAGAAAATTGGACTGTTCACAGTTGTCATGATCACGCTCGGATCACGACTTGGCATACTCGGATCAGCACGGCACGAACGGCAACGCTTTTCAAATTCCGATTGAAGTTCAAACCAGGAGGTTTCGATCGGCATCGAAACCCCCTCTACGCCAAGAAACTGTCGCATTAACCCTGCACAGTGATTAGTTACTAGGAAACCACGATCACCAAGTATATTCATTTTACTATATAATCAGTAGTAGAATCTCCTGTACAGTAGATTCTACCTTGTCTAATCTCAGGCCCACTTTGGCTTGATACTGGCTTGTGTTCTCGCTTTAGACCCCATCGACCCTCATTCCCTCTGGGGTCTAATTCTATCCACACCCCGTGCTACGAACAACGCCTTCCTTGTACCCCGGGGTGTAACTTCTCATACCCCGACATTCGGTGAACGGCTCTTCACGCATCTCGGGGTCTAGACTCGCGCATACCCCGACATCTGGTGGACGGTATCCACACATCTCGGGGTCCACACTTGCCGACAGGTCGTATACGCTGTGCGACTGTCGAGGGGACACGGACAGGGGTTTGAAGTCCTAGTCGGGATCTGTACCCGAAGCCGCCATCAGGCCGACCCAGGGTCGTCACTGACAGAAGGTAGAATCTCAACTACCGGCTCCGACTTTTCGAAACCCGTCGAAAACATATGAAGCGCGAAAGGCCCTCGCGAACACCAAATAAACCGCGCACAAAGAGAAAGCGCGACTGGGTCATTTGCGGTGGGTACCACTACTCCAAACGCACACACACGTGAAGATCCCAATGGTTCGATGTACTGCAACCACGGCGGTTCCAGTAGTTTGTATGATCATGGGGACACCAGAAGAATCGATGTGGTGAAGGGATTACAGCAGCTCTTCGAAGCTGTGGTGTACATGACGGTGATCATCGGGGTATTGGGAGTAGGGGTGGTGTGGTACCACCAGCACCCTGTCGGCAGGGGAGCGTACCAACGGGGTTTACACCTGCAGTACAATAACCCCATACTGCGCAGAATGTGATACCTACCCACTGGATCGGGGTGTGGCTAGCGCATCTCGGAGCCTGTGGCACACCCCGCTTGCCGCTCGGTACGAACCCACCCTTGACCAAGAAGACACCCTGTCGCAGTGCGGGGTCCAGAAAGGAACAATGACGGCATATCGGTGTCGGCATGGGCCGACAAGGCAATCTTGGCCCATGCACGCGTTCATGATCCCGACATCCCACCCCGTGAGGTCTACTTGGACTCAGGGGCCCGAATAGGAGTGCAGTGGGGAGTGGAGATCGAGGGAATAGGACCCGAGGTCTCTAACACCCCGACTGCCGAAAGTGGATGAGTAGGAAACCCAAAGGAGATACCCGCAACCGGCATCACTCTATACCCGTGGCGTAATCTTATCTCCTCTTATCTGAAATCAAATCTCACTCCAATCTTTTATCTCTCCAACCGGGACCCGGACAGGCGAACGTGATCACGTGGAATCAAGAAAAATCGATATATTCGAAACACGAAACAGTAAACAACGAAATACAAGCGGGGCAGTGCGCCCAGCGTGAAACGCGACGACACCCCGGCAGACGCGAACATTTACTCCCCCTTCTCACGTTTCGAAGACCCCGGTGCCTTCCCTTCATCCTTCTCCAGACCCCGCCGATGCTTTATCGCCTTGTGAACGATGCCCAGGAGGGCCGACATATAGACAAAGTAATCGGTCTCATTGGCCTCTGGGTGGTCCTCGAAAAAGGCGGCCATCATTTCCGCATCGGCGGTCAGGTTCGAGACGTCAAACGCGTTGGGCTCCAGGAGCTGGGAGGTAGGGAAACCTAGGAAAATGGGTTCCTGCAGGGATAGCAGGCCCGGCGCCCGGGACCCCAGGGTGGTAGTAGAACCGCAGGCAGAGCTTTGCTGCTCGGAGGAAGAATGGGGCACAGGGCCCGGACGACTGGAAGGGCTGGCATGCGAAGGAGACTGTGTGCGCGGCACATCTTGCAGCTGCGACACATTGAAATCATTCTCGTCCGCAACATAATCCCCTGCATGAACCCCGGCGGGCAGACCTTGCGCGGAATCGGAGAGCAGCTGGTCCACCTCCTCTGTGGGGACCGGGTTCTTAACCCGCTGCTTTCCCTTTCCATGACGTCGCACCGGGGTCTCCTCCTCTGTGTCGGAAGAAATTAATCACGTAACATACACGCGGCTTCACGTGTTGGCGCTGACGCGACTGTTTGCCACAACAGCATGTTGAAATGTTCAATCTCCGAATGGAGGAGAAATATCAGGGATGCATTATCATACATGGCACTGAACCTCTGAACAGATAACTGTGTGTACCTGCTTTTTTATTCTGCTCAACCAAATTTCCGAACCGACCGGGTGGTTTCTCGTTCGGTTGGCTAATAAAGCTCTTGCAGCCACCGTGCATTTTGAGCCGTGACGACGATGAGAGAATTCGTAGGTCGCGCTGTTCAAGTAAATAATGCCGTACTGGGCTGAGATGCAATCAAACAGCAAATGTCTGATTGGTTGCATATTTTTCTTCCGGTCCGTTACGATTGCAAAGCTAGCCTCTTAGGGGTAATCTGGTGCGGCAAAAAATGAGATCGGCATGGAAGAGATAAGGCCTTCCTCTGTGGACAATGTTTGATAGACAAGTCCCGTTATTCGCAACTGTGGCTACCTGGCATGAACATCTCTTTCCCTCTCAAAATTATTTGTAAAGGTAAATACCAGGTAGGAATTTCCAAGACCGATTCACGACTCAATAGGAGGAGCATTAAATCATAGGTTTCGGTCCTAAAAAAAGAATTCATCGAAGCAGCACTCATGGCCCAGGCCTGAAGTGAACAAGCAACCCTTGCAGGATGATATCGATACGAAACACATTCATTCGGTGCGAGTGCGGACCATCTGCAACCAGGCCTTAATTTGCTCTCTGATGACTTCAATACGTGGCCATCAAATCATAGGTTTGCTCGGTTTGGGCAGAAATCAGAACCTACAATTGTGTGGCTCAGGCTTGAATCGAACAAGCAACCCTTGCAGAATAATTGGATAGTCAGCAATTTCGGTAATTCGGTACAAGTGCGGACCATCCGCGACTGGGACTTAATTCTCTCCCTAATAACCCGAGCATTAACTTGTACATTTGTTCGGTTTGGGGCCAGAAAGAAAAAAAAATGCTGTCGACACCATGCCCCGGGCCTGAATTGAACGAGCGACCCCTGCAGGACATTGTGAGGCGGCGCGAGACCCAGACATCGGTGCGAGTGCGGACCATCCGCGACTGGGCCTTCTCTACTCCCTTTCTGTCCCCATTAAGTGGGCATGATTTTTGATTGTTGTAAACACAAAATTCTCGACTGAATTGCAATAAGGTGCAAGTCAAGCACCTTTCTTGCCCAATCATTTGCAGGCTAAGTGCTGCAGTGAGAAGTATCCGCAACAAGGCCGATCTTATCTACATATCCTCAATAAGCAGGCATTGAATTGTAGGTTTTGGTCCGAAAAAACAAACTTCATGGATGAACAGTCATGGCCCAGGCTTGAATCGAACAAGCAACCCCTGCAGAATAATCGAACAACCATACAAGGCAATAATTCGGTGCAAGTGCGGACCATCCGCAACCGGGCCTTCCCTACTTGCCCGCCATCCTCGATAGGTGGGCATGTTTGGTTGTTGTACGGCAAAATTCTCGACTGAATTGCAACAAGGTCCAGGTCAAGCACCTTCCCCGCCGAATCATTTGCAGTATGGCAGCGAGGACCATCCTCAACAAGGGCTTCCTTACCTACATAGCCTCAATAGGTGAGCATTACGTCGTAGGTTTCGATCCGAAAAAAAAAGAATTCATGGACGCGGCACTCATGGCCCGGGCTTGAACCGAACAAGCAACCCCTGCAGAATATCTACCCCACCAAACGTGTTCATTCGGTGCTGGTGCGGACCATCCGCAACCGGGCCTTAATTTACTCTCTGATAACCGCTGTAGGTGGGCATTTTTGATTGTTATAGAGGCAAAATTCTCCACTGAATTGTAACAAGGTGCAGGTTAAGTACCTTCCCCGCCCAATCATTTGCAGTCTAAGTGCTGCAGTGAGGAACATCTGCAACAAGGCATTTTGTTGAGGAAGAAATCTACTTATATGGTGTGCAACGGTAGTATTGCTTTTTTATTATAGTTCCTTCCATGGCGATCATAGATAAGGGCTACAGCCCCTAACGACCCTCAGTCTTACACCATCTTGTGGGACTGAGGGTACATTGTATATTTTATACCAGTATTTATTTACTTACATATCTGTAGACTCTGACTTACAGTATGTCATGAAAGCAGCGATCATGGCCCAAGCTTGAATCGAACAAGTTCCGAACAAGCATCTCCTACAGAATTTTGAAAACACTATTCTATGCACGTGCGGACCATCTGCAACCGGCCCCTACACCGATGGGTGAGCATTCGATCATAATAGGTTTGCTCAGTTTGAGAAAAAAGGTGTTTCAATCCGATCATATGGCCCAGGCTTGAATTGAGCAAGCAATCAAGGCAGAATATGGATTAAAGCGACATGGTGCAGACCATCCGCAACCGAGCCTTAATTCGTTCTCTGATAACCTCAATAGGTGAGCATTAACTCGTAGTTGCTCGGCTTTTTTTTAAAAAAAAAGGTGTTTCACCGGAACTATGAACCGTTTAAGGCCCGGGCTTGAATTGAACAAACGATCAAGGCAGAATATCGATTGAAGCGATATGGTGCAAGTGTGGGTCATCCGCAACCGGGCCTCACTCCTCTGCCCCTACACTCATGGGTGAGCATTAGATCATAACAGGTTTGAGAAAAAAAGGTGTTTGATTCAAGCAATCACTACCTCTTACGCTCAATAGGTAAGCGTTGGATGGTGGAATTTCTTGATTCAACACAAAAAAAGAAACCTCGTGGCACATCTATGGCCAGGCTTGAATTGAACAAGCCTATCCTGCAAACATGTGTGGTAAGAAGCTATTCACTGCAAGGGCGGACCAACCGGGCCTTGTGGTATATCGGGGTGTGTTCAATAAGGGTGTATTTAATTCCATACTCTCTCCAAATCTCCCAAGACATCAAAATTCAAGTGAAACCAATTTCAGAGTAATTCACCACGGAGCAGTCAATATTACAATCCTTCCGTTTCCTTCATGGGTACTCGTAATCCCATGAAACCAAAAAATTCAACCTTGAACTTTGTCCCTATTTCCCACCGGCGTGATCCCTCGGCTTGTTCGGCAAGGTGAAGCCAAACACAACCACCCTCCTTCCTCTTTCGTCCTCCCTCTCACGTCGCGGGTTCCGGTCAACTGGAAGGTGGTATACTCCGACAACGAACCTCTCGTCTGTGTACTTGACAGCCTCTACTTGTGGTGGCGGTCTGGTGTCTTCCTGGTCCCTGGAAAGCGAAGCATCTAGTGGAATTTGACTTGGATTGACTGCAAGGGGGCCCAAAGATAAGAAAAAAGGATATCACCTACATATTTTTTTCTCCCAGCACTTTGGCCTACCCCTCCCCCCCTACGTAACGATGATGCCATCAAATTCCCTTTTAAAGAAAGATATTCGAGGCAGCAGAGTATCGATGCGACAGTAGAAAGTGGCCGTAGCAGTCATTTGACAGCAAAGTACATAACAGCAGTCCATGTGAGAAGAAGCTACTGAGCTATGAACGTTCTCGCACTTGACACTCACACGGCTTGTTGGGTTGAAACTTGGTTCAAAACGGACCACGGTGTCTCAACTTTGCTAATGAGGTGAATGGGAGACCTGTAATAGCGTAGTTATACTGGGGGATCATGTTTGAGGTCCTGAGCAGTGTCTACACTCCCCAGCGGACCTTCCCGGGTGAAAAGAAAATTGCATACAATTTTTTTTCCCGGCGGACCCTCGACCCCTCCCCCCCTCTACCCCATATGGTAACTTCTTATCTTTGGGCCCCCTTGATTGACTGCACTCACTGCGTTTTGAGAAAAATTGCCACGGTAGGGACAGAGCGGAGGATTGCAAATATATCACACATAACCACGGTGTTGCCAGATTAGATGGACATGAGAGGACAGAGCGGAGGATTGAATCATACTGTACCATTACGTTCAAATCAACAGGGGGTGTGATGCGTGACTGGTTCGACCAATTCGACATTTCGACAGCCCCCCGAAAGCCGAGTGACAAGGGAAAAATTTCGACATGGGCCCCAAATCTTACCCTTCTGTTGAGGGTAATTTCTTAGGATAGCACAGAAATATTTGCGCAGTGTATTGAATACCTATCCTATTTTGAGTTTTGTTTTCAGGCCATTTTAGGTTGATGTTAGGTCAGAAACCCAACCACATGCTCAAATTTCAGAGTTGCGGGTATAAATAGGCCAGGAACCTGTTTAAACCACACTTAGAAAGATTAGGGAGTCACGGCGATTTTCTAGGCTGTTTTACGCGATTTTTCGGTGGCGTGACGAACCGCTGGACCTATTCGGCACTGGCCTCCGTGACACGTGACTGCAACCAAAGTTCGATATCGACAGGGGGGTGCGTGACATGTGACTGTCAATTTGAATGTAATGGTACAGTAATCCACTCTATCCACCGCCCTGGACGGGCCACACTGTAAGACCAAGACTGGATTAATTTCACCGGGTAAGTAACCCAGAGAATGGGTGACCTTGACTCGCTGAAGAGGTGACTTTCACCTGGGTGCTCTGGAAGTAACCCGAAAACTGGGGTAAAAGTTCGGGTTAGTAGTGGGTTAGAACCGGGTGGATGTAATTAAATATTTTTTGCTTTTCACCCGGTGCAGACCGCTGTTTTGACCGGGTTTCAGCAACCCGTTCAGTGGGTTTCTCGAGACCGGGTTTGTGGAACCCGTTCTTTGGGTTATTCTCACTGGTCCAGAAGGGCCGCAAGGTCCGCGGTCCCCACCCCTTCCCGGTACTCTTGAATCACAAAATAGATGATAAAATGCAATAGTATTGAAACCGACTGTAAGCTACAACAGATGGGAAGTCGACGACATCAATCTTGAAGCATTTACGAGAATTTTACGAGTACACTGTGATTGCCAAGTCCGCAAGACTTTGATGCCGCCGGGAATCACGAGAATTGAAAGGGGGCCCAAAAGCTTTGAAAGAGTGGGCTTGAGGGAGGCTTTGAGGATTGAGAGAAGTGTTGGCTGAGGTCTTGGAGCTTGAGGAGCAGCAACAATGTTGAGGTCTTGGCGCTTGAGGAGGCAGGCAGTGACAATGTTGAGGTCTTGGAGCTTGACTAGGCGGCGACAATGTTTTGAAGATGTCATGGTTGGCCCGCCGCTCAGGTGGCGGATTCAATGCGGAGTACGTTAACCCGTGCTAGTTCCACCGGCTTGACACACGATGGGGTGGTCCAAGGACTTGTCGGGCGTTGAGGTATCACCGGAAGCGGATTACATACAGCCTGTCTTTTGAGGGCAGCGTTGGTTTAGAGCTGCAGTTGAGTAGGGCGAGGGAATCTGGTAATGGGTGTGGTGGGAAGAGAGAAGGAGCTGGGGATCAAACAAACATCCACATGTGATTGCGCCACCTGTTGATCATGCACGGACCGCCCGATCAACGGACTTGAGAAAACAATCTGCGGCGAGTGCAGTTACTCGTTGCTGTAAAGGCCCTTCAAATGGCATTTAGGAATCATTCAATCTCAATATCTGACCAAAACAGGGCTAGGAATCATCCATCACCGTGAAGTTCCGAGTAGGTTAGTTTAATCACTTTCCTGGGTGAAAATAATCCGCCAGGTCATCCATATAACGGGTTAAGAATCTGGGTGAACTGGACCATGCAAAACTGACCCGTTTAGCGGGTTAGGACATTCACCCGCCTGTTCCGGGCGAAATTAACCCCCTTGGAGTTCACCCGGTTGTCGCCCTTGTAGCGGGTGAATGTGGAAAATCACCTGGGAACGGGTGAAATAAGCCCGGTCCCAGTCTTACAGTGGCCATCTAGACCAATGCACCATGCCTGGGACATTTTGAAAATCCCAACTCGCCCCTATGTGGACAGATTGGCTAGGCCCCGATTCAAAGTGTTTCAGGTAGTAATTGTCTGTAGCATACATGGTTAGAGGCACATGTATGTAGGTGCAGAGCCCGCTTGTTTCCTCAATGGGACCGCTGCGGTTATACACTTCCTTCCTTCCTTCCTTCCGGTGGCCGGGGTATGTTCCAAATGATCTGTTCACACAAAGATAAAGACCTGAAGGCGGAAGAATCAGATGAAGACGAAGAAAGCAAAGTAAATAAATTCAGAGCTGGGTAAATTTGTACACTAGCAAAATGCGGAGTCTATTTTCCACGTGCTGCTCATCTCACTAGTGACACCCCAGTTCGTTCTCATTTCTTCCTGCTTCGCGTTGTTGACAAGGAGTTGAATGCACAACCTGAGTTACTGTAAGTAAATCAGCGACACAGAAGAATCCAAGGGAAGGCCAATGCATACCTCTTGCTTGCGTTTCGGCAAATATCTAATGAGCAAGGTAGAACAAGTTAGCTCTGGCTGCTGCAGCTGCAATACAGAATGAGTTAAGGATAACTGTGAAGAACAGGGGATAGCATCCTGTTCGAGCCTTGCGATGATGATTC